ACGTTCCAAAGGCTTGAATGGGGGCTCCCCCCGGCCGTGACGTCAGCGCCGCTCGCACCTCATTGGCCCGTCGGGGAAAGCCCTCGGAGCCCATTGGCCGAGGCGCCCCGCCAGCCGGTTTGATTTTTCTCCTCCTGCTCCTCCTCGCCGCTCCGTTTCCTCCAAATCCCTGAGGTGAAGGAATTCTTAAGCACCGCGCAGCTTGGGGAAAATGGGTGTTTCGGACTACAACTCCCAGTATCCCCCCAAAAGGCCTCCTCAGAGGACATTCGCGGCTGAGAGCTCGGTGGGAGGTGTGTGCTCCAAGAACTAACTTTCCGAAGTTCTGTCTTTAAAAAAAGGAATTCTTATTTATTCATTTTATTTAAAATATCTGCACTCCGCCTTTCACCTGAAGGGGACCCAAGGCGGCTTACCACACAAAACCAAAGAATACCAAACCCCTTTTTGTTTTTTTAAAAAACTTTTTAAAAAGTTTTTTTTTTTTCAAATCACTGAATAAAGCTAAGCTCTCCCTTTTCTAGTAAGCATTTCTGGCCTTCATTTGATTGGTGACAATAATTAACCATGGCAAATTCCAATACAGTATTTTATTGCAATTATTCTTCTTCAATCCACCATTTAAAAAAATAACCAAGAAGGTTCATCCACAGTTCTAAACAATGGCCATGATATACATACTTATGTCTGTACTATGTGCATATATAAATTTATGAGAGTGACTTAAAAACCCAAAGTATTTCAACAAAAACTTTCTGCTGGTAGTTCCTTCAGTCGCCCAATCAAAGCTGCTGGAAAACCACCAGGAAACCGTGTATTTTTACCAGAGCAGCTGAAAAAGGCGGAAGCTGAAGCATTCGGGTTAAATACTTAACTGTTTGTTAGCCACTTTTATAAAAGTGTGCACATCTGTATCTGTGTGCATGGGTAAAGTTATGTGCTGCCAAGGTGGAAATGAATTATAGTGACCCAAACAGGGAATTAAAGATAAATGGAATATTTAAAAGGTAGTTTTGCCTGTTCCACTCTGCCCCATGAATTTCCATGGCCAAGTGGGGATTCGAACCTGGTTTCCTGAACCCAGCACTTTATAATCCCGGTGTCTCCACCTGGCAGTTAAAACAGTATCTTTTTTTTTCCTACCTGGCCTGGTTTATTAAAGCTGTTTTTCAAATCTGGCTTTCAACGGGATTAATTCTCTAAAGTGTTTCTGAAAGGTTTTCACCTGGCTTGTGCTAGAAGGGGGGGGGGAGAGAAAAACAGCTGATCAACACAGGGAGCAGATCCTTCCTGCAGAAAAGAGGGGTGGGAGCAAAAAGCCCATCTTTGGGGGGGGGGCTGCATGAAACAGCTTGGGTGTTTAAAAAAGGTGGCTGCAACAAAAATATCTATCCGGTTCTTGGGAAGAAAGACCTGGAGGTTTTGAGCAGGATAAGCTCCTGGGGGGGGTTTCTTTACGTCCTTTCTCAGGACAAGGATGACCCGTGAGCAGGGAGGGGGGCAGCCTAAGACGCGTACACAGGACATCGCTATGGGGTTAGGAGGGGGGGTTTGAAGATCATCCGCCCCGCCTTTCCCGACTCCCGCTCCGTCTCGCTTCGGCTCCTTCTTTGTCCGGGCGAAGGGAAGCAAGCGGGGGCCGGGCAGAGGAGCGCGTGTCCCCGGGAGAGGCGGGCGCACGTCTGAACGCGGAGGAGGAGGAGGAAGAGGCGGAGGCCAACCAGCGAGGGGGGTGGAGAAGAGGCGACGGGCCAGCTGCGATCCTCCGCGATCCAGAAGCCTCTTAAGCAGGAAGGAAGGAACGTGGGAGGGAGCCTTGCGCGCTCTCCAGCCGGCGTCGGGGGCGCGCCTCTGGCCTCCCCTTCTCCTTCCCTGCCCGCTCCCCTCTCTGGTTGTGTTTTTTTCCTGCTCGCCACTTTTGGGCGACTCCTAGCCCCCGGGCGATGGCCCCGCTGGACGACGAGCCGGAGCTGCGGGCGGGCTTGGCGCGGGCCGGGCAGTCCCACTTGTTGCGCTTCTGGCCCCAGTTGGAGCCGGCGGAACGGGCGGCGCTGGCGGAGTCGCTGCGGGCGCTGGGCGCCGAGGAGCTGGGGGCGCATTGCCGGCGAGCGGCCCAGGCCTACGCCCGGGAGCAGGAGCAGGAGCCCGGCGGCCACCCGGAGGGGTTGGCCGGGGGCCTCCAGCCTGTCCAGCCCGAGTTCTTCGGCAGCGTGGCCCGGAGCGAACCCGCCACCCTGGAGCGCTGGGAGGAGGAAGGTGAGCGAGGCTGGGGGGGGATCAGAGATAAAGGGAACCCCTGACAACCCCCCCAGCAGCAGCAGCCCCCATATTTTCAGTGGTGGAACCTCCTTGGCTCTACTTCCAGTGGTGGAACCTCCCGGAGCAGCGCAGTCTACCCCATGCATTGACATTCCTAAAAAGGAGCTAGCCGATAATACTGGCTTTAATTGATTTTTCTCAGGCTAGGATCCTATGCTTCGGAGTTTCTTTTCCCAGACGGTTTCAAACCCTGGCGAAACCCTTCTCTGCTTTTCTTCCAGGCCTCCGCCAGATTTCCCAGGGCAAGGTGGCGGTGCTCCTCCTGGCCGGCGGGCAAGGCACCCGCTTGGGCGTGCCGTACCCGAAGGGCATGTACGATGTGGGGCTGCCCAGCCGCAAGACCCTCTACCAGCTCCAGGCGGAGCGGATTCGCCGCGTGGCGCAGCTGGCGGGCGAGAAGTTCGGCACGTCCTGTAAACTCCCCTGGTGGGTGGCGTGTGGCCGTGGAGGGGGGGGGCTGAAGCCGATGGCGAGGGCTTGGAAAGAGCCCAGTGCGGGGCTGGGGGTGAGGTGGGGCATTTTCCCCTGAAGGTCTCAGTGGGTGCCCGCCTGGGTCAACAGCAGTTGCTTGGCACAACCAGGCCTGGCTGGGTCAAAGCGCCACAGACTTTCCCGGAATTATGTGACCTTCTGCTGTCCCACCTCCAAGCTTTAGGACGTTGTCCTTAAAATGAAAGAAGGACACTGCCGGAAGTAACGACAGCTTTGCGGCCTCCAGGTACATCATGACGAGTGAGTTCACGCTGGGGCCGACCGAGGCGTTCTTTCGGGACCACGACTATTTTCACCTGGCCAAGTCGGACGTGGTCCTGTTTGAGCAGCGGATGCTCCCGGCCGTGACCTTTGACGGGAAGGCCATCCTGGATGGGAAGGGCAAGCTGGCCATGGCCCCAGGTAACCCTCCGGCTTCCCCTGGGGGTCTGGACCTTCCGTGGCACCGGGGGGCTGGACGTGGGCGTGCGCCGGAAAGAGTAACAGCGCTTTGCTCTTCAGCCCTGCTTCCTGGCAGCATCTGGTTGACATGTTTCGGAGTACAGTATTTGGGTGAAAATTGTAGCCAAAGAGACATCAAGCCATGTTTTCAATCTCCAGCATTTGTTTATTTATTCATTTGCGATGTCCCAGCTTTCTGCCAAAGGCGCTTTTTCTGTCTCGCTTTTTCCTTGTTGTGCCACAGATGGGAACGGTGGTTTGTATCGCGCCCTGGCGGACAACAAGATCCTAGAGGACATGGAGCGTCGTGGCATCCGGTACATCCACGTCTACTGCGTGGACAACATCCTCGTCAAAATGGCGGACCCCGTCTTCGTTGGTTTTTGCGTCTCAAAAGGGGCCGACTGCGGTGCTAAGGTGAATGGGGACAGAAAATGGAGGTTGGGAACCCATGATCTCCTTTCGGCCAGGATGAGAGGGAGCTGGAAGAGGGAATGCAAACTGGACCTCTCTCAGTGGGTCGGACTACAACTCCCATTGTCCACACTTTGGCCCGGCAGAAAGTGGGAATTGCGAACCCAACCTATTTCAAACAGGTTTCATGCTCTCGTGAAAATGAAGATCATAATGGGAAACCTGTTTAATTTGGGCAGCACCGGGCACTGCCCCAGAAGGCAGGCAGGCGGGATGATAGTGTGAACAATAAAGCTCTATTTATCAGATGACAAACACCTGGTAACTATGTACCAAAACAGCAGAGATACAGTCACAAAAGTTAAGAGAAGGTGCAGCGTTTCTGGGATCTATTGCACAGACTTTGATTCAACGTAATACGAAAACATTGCAGATCCAACTCTCTCTCTTGGTCCTTAATTTTTATTTTTGAGCATCTTATCCCATCTGGGACTCGACCTCCCGAATTTTGTGTCTCTGTAGGTAGTGGAGAAGGCCTACCCAACCGAGCCCGTTGGGGTGGTGTGTAGTGTCGATGGCGTGTACCAGGTGGTGGAGTACAGCGAGATCCCCTCGGAAGTGGCAGAGATGCGGAATCCAGACGGCCGCTTGACGTACAGCGCGGGTAATATCTGCAACCATTTCTTTACCTTGGACTTCCTGCAGACGGTAGCAGAGTAAGTCCCCTTGCCACCTGTCCTAGGTGCGGCTTCTCCTCTTCGGTTCTGGTTTCTGGGCTTCTGAGCGGTGGCTGGGTTTGAGAGTGGTACAGAAGTGGGGAGAAGGGGATACATTAGATGAGAACATGATTTTGAAAAGGGTCTTAACCCTGCATTTGAAACATACACCGGATCTCTGTGGTCAGGAGCTTAAAAATGGACTTTTTTTCCTAGTCCCAGGAAAAGTTTGAAAAAGTTTTTTGGGAATTGCAACTCAGAATGTCATCATCCACAACCCCTGTAGCTTCTCTTCTGTTTAATGTCTAGGCTGCTGTATATACTGTGTCTAAATCTGGGGCAGAAGGACCGTGAAGGAGAATGAGGGTGATTGATTTGATTTCCTGGAGCAGCTAGCATTTAACTTTATATACATTTAACTTTATATATATATTGTGACTGTAGATGATCACAATTCGTGGGTTTAACTGAGATATATTGATTTGATTTCCTCATGAGAACCTGGAGCAGCTAGCATTTAACTTTTTATATATAAATCACACATCACAAATTATGTACAGATAAAGCTGCAGAAGTGTCTGCTAAAAATGCAATTAGAAAAAAAGCAGCCGTCAAAGATTTTTGATTGATTTCTAGCGCCCGATGGTTTCATCACAGTAAGCCCCCCCTGCTGCTCTCATGAGGTCCCATAAGACCAAAGCCTGCCTTAAAATGTGGTAGAAAGGTAAAAAAATAAAAAGGTTACTTCAAGTTACTTCAAAACAATCTACACCCATGCTAGCATCGCTCAAATCATCCTCAAAATATTTCCAGGAAGCATCCAGCAATTTGCCAAAAATAAAGATGACAAGCCAGTTTGTAGGAATCACGTGACCCCTTCGTAGGTTGGAAGGCCCTTCTGTGCATGGAATACTCAGAGCCCTTAGTTTTCTGGACTACACCTCCTACAATCCCCCAGCCAGTGGGTGAAGGATCATGGGAGATGTAGTCTAACATGTCTCCCCATATGTGTACCAGCAAAAAACACCCTGGCAGTCAGACACCTTCTTGCCTAAGAAGCCCCTAAAAGGTTATAAAAGTTCCATGTTTTTGTTGATGGCTCTTCCATTCCCTCCCGGCAGGAAATTTGAGCCTCAGCTGAAATCCCACCTGGCCATCAAGAAGGTGCCCTTTGTGGACGAGGTGGGCAATCGGGTAAACCCGCTGAAACCCAATGGGATAAAGCTGGAGAAGTTTGTGTTTGATGTGTTCCAGTTTTCTAAGTTAGTGGCACATGTCTTTTCTCTTATTTCCCCTGTCTCTTCTTGATTCTTTTGCAAAATAATTTCTTTTTCTGTTCGTTTGGTGGGGTGGATTTTAGAACCAAGGTGGAGGAGGCTTTCGGGGGGGGGCACTGTGATGTCACATCCTGATTCCCATCGGCCCCTGTGGATGTGGCTGAAAATCAAGGATGATGGAGATTGACATCATCCCCTTTTGGAAACAGCTCTTTCCATGGGGTTGCTGATCTGAGGAATCCCACTGATTTGGAAGGAGGCAGATCACACAGAGCAGCTAATAGGGCCGAGTGGGGGAGGCTTTCGGGGGGGGGCACTGTGATGTCACATCCTGATTCCCATCGGCCCCTGTGGATGTGGCTGAAAATCAAGGATGATGGAGATTGACATCATCCCCTTTTGGAAACAGCTCTTTCCATGGGGTTGCTGATCTGAGGAATCCCACTGATTTGGAAGGAGGCAGATCACACAGAGCAGCTAATAGGGCCGAGTGCTATCACGTTAGCTTTCTGTGTATTCCAAAATGTACCGTTGTCTTGATGGTTTCCTCTCGTATGCATAGGACTTGGGTAGGAACCTTCCAGCCGGGGGTTCTAGCACAGCCCTCTGAGCTTGTACAGACTGCCCATGCCCCCTTTTCCCGTAACGCTCCTTCTTTGTTGGCTTCTGCCCTTAAGGTCTGAAATGCATCTTCCGTATTACCAGCAGGACTTGGTTTAAGCTAAAATAGGTCAATATTTATGGCCCCATCCTTTTCTCCTTAAACTCAAGCCACCATCAGTATATTCCTCCCTGCCCCCCCCCAATTTTTTCCCTAAAATTAAATTCAGCTCCTGGGCCCAACTGGGTATCCTGCCCTCGGTATAAGATTTGTGCATATTGCTGTTTTCAATTAGCATTTTCCCCTTTGGTGGCAGGAACTTTGTTGCCTTTGAAGTTCTGAGAGAGGAGGAATTTTCCCCTCTTAAGAATGCGGACCCAGCCAGCAAGGACACCCCCACCACTGCAAGGCGGTCACTCCTCTCCCAGCACTACCGCTGGGCCCAGAAGGCAGGGGCCAGGTTCATGGACAGCCAAGGCCATCCGATTCCTGAGATACAGAGGTGGGTATGACAATCCTGGACATGGCCCAAGGGATGGTGGGAAATGTAGTGCAGCCAAGAAGCCCAGAGGTGAATAGATGGTTGGAAAAGTGGGAGGTTGCTACACTACAACACCCAGCTTCCATCACCATTGGCTGTGGCTGATGGGACTTGCAATCCAGCATTATCTTCATGGCCACGTTTTGCCCAGCTCTTTGCTAACTGGGTTTTCAGTGTGCTGTGTTGCCGTCTGTCTGTCTACCAAGGTCTGTTTGTATCTCTAGTCGTTTCTCCTTTAGTCTTGCCACAAATGAGTTTCTAGAATTATATGTGCTGGAGTTTTGGACACACAAAAGTGCAAGAAAAGTAAACACAGGTCTTACAATTGCTCCGTGACCTCTGTCCTAAATATATGACTAAGCTCTAAAGCTCCCTTCCAAATCCTTTTTTCCCTTTAAACAGTCATGGCATAAACGCTTTAAAGTCAAATAACAGAACACAGAGATTTGGGGGTTCTGAGTTAGATGGGAGATCGTCCCTGATCCAGCATCCCTTTCTGTCTCAGATATAATGGACCTGGTGGCAGGTTCTTGAGTGTTGTGGGGAGAACTCTTGTCACATGCTCTGGTGCTACAGATGGCACACAGCATGCCTGCTGATAAAAGCTCATTGCATTTTTCTTTTTCTCTTTAGTTTATCCGGAGATGAAGAACCTCCTGCCGTGTGTGAGATTTCACCCCTAGTCTCCTACTTTGGGGAGGTGAGAGTACCCACAGATTTATGTATTGAATCTTAAAAAGGATGGATGGATGGATGGATGGATGGATGGATGGATGGATGGATGGATGGATGGATGGATGGATGGATGGATGGATGGATGGATGGATGGCCGTTTTATTTTGCATTGGCCCAGCTTATCAGTGGGAACATTCTCTAATAAAAGATTTCCAAAGAAATTAGAAATGTTTAGGGCCTGCTAATGTACAGTTCTGTGACTTTCATTCCTGTGTTAACACACCAGTGCCACTTGACCTGTTATTTGTCTTGTCATCAGGACTTGCGGGTGATGTTTAAATATACAGGTCATGTATTGGCATTCCAGTGTCTGTAGAAGTCTACTTTGATCCACCAAAGGTCACAATGTAATAAATCTGTTTGTCTTTAAAGCACTACAATAAGTTGCCTCCCTCTTGCCCTGTGAATTGACATAATCATTTCTTTCTTTCTCCAGGATCTCGAACAATACCTGAATGCCAAAGAAGTCCAGTCGCCACTTCTTCTCGACGAAAGCCAAGCTGAAGCGCTCAGACAAGCATGAACGAAGGCGGACTGGCTGGGAAGGTGGCCCTCCATTTATTTAAACAAATGGAGAAAATAATGGAGATGGGTGGTTTGATAACCAGCAGAAGGAACTGATTATGTTTACAGTGATATGAAGCCAAAGTCTTAATTCTACCTAACTCTTTTGTGTATGGTGGGTGAGGGTTTGCAACATAGCTAGATAGGAATGAGGTCTTTCTGCCGGGGGCTGTATAATTAGCATTCTTTGCATTATAACCAGAAGGCTTGTGGATGAAACTCGAAATAGTTAACCAAGATAACGACCTGCCAGCGGCCATACAAGGGAATCTTCTTTCCCCAGCTGGGACCTTGAAGGAATCTTGGACTATGACCCCCCTGATCCTCCCCCCTTTATCTCTCTTTCTCGCAAGTGCCTTTTGCTAGTACTGGATAATGCTGGAAAAGCATGGATGGTTTTATCTTCCGTGTTCATCATTTTGACACATTAAAATGCTTTTAAAAGTAAGGTTGGCGTTTTGTGCATGTTTTGCCGTGCAGAGGGGCTCTGCCCACCAGCTAATTAATTCAGGGTGCGTGTTGCATGCTCTTTTTGTCTGTGTGTGCAATAATTTGATGGCAGCTGGTTTTTTGGAAGAAGAGGCCCCTAGCTTCCGAAGTGGAGTTTCCTAGAGACCAGATTCTGGATGCCATTCCATGTTCTTGAGCTGCGTTGCCCCAGTAGTGTGTGCAAGAGGAGCACACTTGGGTCCAGTCCTCCGAAAAAGACTTAAGATGTCAAGTCCATACATTTTGTGATTGCACTGTAAGAGTCACATTGCTTTATTTAGCCTTGCTGCTAGGTTTTAATTATACAATCATATTAATTATACAGCTATGGAGCCCCCAAAAGATCTGGGTTGCAACTCGGTGTGTATACAGGACTGTGTCATAAAAGGACAGCAATACAGCGGTGCCTTGCTAGACAGTTACCCCGCATGACAGTTTTTTTGCTAGACAGTGGCTTTTTGCGAGCGCTATAGCGATTCGCAAAACAGTGATTCCTGTGGGAGAATTTCTCTGGACAATGTTTGGTCCCTGATTCGCAAACCGATTTTCACTAGATGACGATTTTGACAGCTCCCTCTGCGCTCACAAAGAGGTGTTTTCGGGACCTAAGCTTCGCAAGACAGCAATTTAAACAGCTGATCGGCGGTTCGCAAAGCGGCTTTCCTATGGCCGATCTTCATTAGACGACAATTCTTCCGCATTGGAATGCATTAAACAGGTTTCAATGCATTCCAATGGGGAAATGCTTTTCGCTAGACAATGATTTTGCTAAACAGCGATTTCAGTGGAATGGATTATCATCGTCTAGTGAGGCACCACTGTATTTTATTTATTTATTGGATTTTTACTCTGCCCTTCTAGACCATGTCTACTCTGTATACACACACATAGTTGAATAAAAGTGCACACACATACACGTTATGTTTATTCATTTATTCAGGTATGTAGGCCCCTCGCTGTATAAGGGGGCCTGAGGGTGGGAGTGCAATCAGTAGTCACTGCTGAGATAATTCAACTTTTATTTATACATTTCTTAAGCGCTTCTGCCCGTTTATTTGCGCCCTTCTGCCCGTTGCTAAGCGAGGCCTGAAACAGGCGCTGTTGCTAGGGCGGGCCCTACAAAGTCTCCCCGGAGAGGGAGAGCGAGCGTGCACGCGTCCTGTGGAAGCGGCCGCTCTGCTCCCTCCTCTCTATGCCCAGGGCGGGAGCGAGGAAGAATCATGGCGGCCGGAGGAGGAGGGGAAGCGCGCCGCGGAGGCTCCTGAGGGACTGTTGCCCGCCGCCATGTACTCGGCTTCGCCGCCGCCTCCTGCTGCTGCCGCCGCGC